TGCCGACTCCTGAACACGTGTCAGGGAGCCCCCAGTGGGGCAGGAGCATCTCCTTATGGCCCCTGAGAGCCAATGCATTTCTGTGCCAGCGCCAGCCGTTCCCTTCCCAATGCCCCTGTCCTGGGCTGGGGCAGGGCATTTCTCCAGGCATCCTTGCCCAACTCGAGATGCAGCCCCTGGAATGGGCACAGGGCATTTCTCCGGGCATCCTCGCCCAGCTGGGACAGGGCATTTCTCCAGGCATCCTTGCCTGGGTGGGGAGACAGCCCCTGGGGCGGGCACAGGGTGTGAGCTGGCAATGCTCTGTGGGTCCTTTCTCTTGGGGTGCCCCTTCCTGGCCTCTCTCTGAGCAGGGAGAGCTCACCCCCACTGCCTCCCTGCAGATGAGCTCCGTCTTTGCGACTACTCCATCGGCCCTGGCTCCAAGCTAAACCTGGTGGTGAAGCCGCCAGAGAAGGCTTCTCCTGAGGAGCCGGGGCACAGGGGATCCCTGCCGCCGTTCCCCAGCATTTGGCACTCACTGGCCCAGGTCCTGGCCCGGCACTTCAGCCCAGCTGACACGCAGAAGGTGCTGGAGCAGCTGCAGAAGGTGACACCTGGGGCCCTGAAATGGAGGGGTCTGGATATACGGAGTCCTGCGCTGAGACACAATCCGGGGGAGGGGTGTGTATATAGTCACCTGGAGCTGAGACATTGTCCTGGGGGGAGGGAGGCTAGGTATACGGAGGACCAGGTGCTGAGATACGGCCCGGGGAAGGGACTGTACCCAGGGATCCCACCGCCCTGTGCTAAGGACCTGTCCCCGCAGGATTACGAGCGGAGCCTTCGCCTGCTGAGTCTGGATGACATCGAGCGTCTGGCCACCCGGCTGCTGCATCCGGAGGTGGCCGACGCGGTGGAGATGGGATTCCTGGACTAGTGCCAGTCAGACTGGCTGGCAACTTCAGCCCAGTTCTCCCTGCCCTGGACCTGCGGGCGGGGCCCAGTGAGGGGTGTATGTGCCTCTGCCCCTCCTTGTGCCTGAACTGCTGCTACAGAGCCACTTGCTGTCTCCTCTCTCATTAAAGGCCATACTGGGTGTGCGACCTGCCAACTCTGCCTGACCTTCACTGGCATGGGGCCTCCGGGGCAGAGCGGGAGCTGGGTGTCTGGGCACCCTGCACTGGGGCTGCAGCCATCTCTGGGGTGAGGTGGGAGTTGGGTGTCCGGACACCCTGCACCAGGATGCAGCCACCTCTGGGGTGGGGTGGGAGCTGGGTGTCTGGGCACCCTGCACTGGGGCTGCAGCCATCTCTGGGGTGAGGTGGGAGTTGGGTGTCCGGACACCCTGCACCAGGATGCAGCCACCTCTGGGGTGGGGTGGGAGCTGGGTGTCTGGGCACCCTGCACTGGGGCTGCAGCCATCTCTGGGGTGAGGTGGGAGTTGGGTGTCCGGACACCCTGCACCAGGATGCAGCCACCTCTGGGGTGGGGTGGGAGCTGGGTGTCTGGGCACCCTGCACTGGGGCTGCAGCCATCTCTGGGGTGAGGTGGGAGTTGGGTGTCCGGACACCCTGCACCAGGATGCAGCCACCTCTGGGGTGGGGTGGGAGCTGGGTGTCTGGGCACCCTGCACTGGGGCTGCAGCCATCTCTGGGGTGAGGTGGGAGTTGGGTGTCCGGACACCCTGCACCAGGATGCAGCCACCTCTGGGGTGGGGTGGGAGCTGGGTGTCTGGGCACCCTGCACTGGGGCTGCAGCCATCTCTGGGGTGAGGTGGGAGTTGGGTGTCCGGACACCCTGCACCAGGATGCAGCCACCTCTGGGGTGGGGTGGGAGCTGGGTGTCTGGGCACCCTGCACTGGGGCTGCAGCCATCTCTGGGGTGAGGTGGGAGTTGGGTGTCCGGACACCCTGCACCAGGATGCAGCCACCTCTGGGGTGGGGTGGGAGCTGGGTGTCTGGGCACCCTGCACTGGGGCTGCAGCCATCTCTGGGGTGAGGTGGGAGTTGGGTGTCCGGACACCCTGCACCAGGATGCAGCCACCTCTGGGGTGGGGTGGGAGCTGGGTGTCTGGGCACCCTGCACTGGGGCTGCAGCCATCTCTGGGGTGAGGTGGGAGTTGGGTGTCCGGACACCCTGCACCAGGATGCAGCCACCTCTGGGGTGGGGTGGGAGCTGGGTGTCTGGGCACCCTGCACTGGGGCTGCAGCCATCTCTGGGGTGAGGTGGGAGTTGGGTGTCCGGACACCCTGCACCAGGATGCAGCCACCTCTGGGGTGGGGTGGGAGCTGGGTGTCTGGGCACCCTGCACTGGGGCTGCAGCCATCTCTGGGGTGAGGTGGGAGTTGGGTGTCCGGACACCCTGCACCAGGATGCAGCCACCTCTGGGGTGGGGTGGGAGCTGGGTGTCTGGGCACCCTGCACTGGGGCTGCAGCCATCTCTGGGGTGAGGTGGGAGTTGGGTGTCCGGACACCCTGCACCAGGATGCAGCCACCTCTGGGGTGGGGTGGGAGCTGGGTGTGGGAATACCGCTCCCCCCAAATTGGCGATGTAGCCCCCTCTGGGCTTGGGCATGAGGTTGCTTATGGGGGGACCCGTTGCCCCATCCCTTTGGGGGCAGCTGTATTCTGAGTCCCCCCTCCCCGAGCCTTCTTCCCCCTCCCCCTCACTGAAGCAGGAGAATGAAGAAATTGTTTCTCAGCCGGGCTGATGCGTGGCCAGGTCCCGAGGGGGGTAATTCCCCTGCGTGGGGCACGGAGAATAGGTGCGGGGCGGGAGGTTCCTCGCTGGGGAGCCAGGGGAGCGGGCGGAGGGTTCGTGCGGGGGACCCTGCAGACGGATCTCGAGGAGAGAGAGTTGCAGGG